GGCGGGCGGATCTGTTCTCCGCTCGCAGCAGCGCGCTCTTCGTCTCCAGCAGAGCTCATCCCGATGTGGCTTCCCTCGAGGGGCAAAACTCTAGAGTGTTTGCGGCCTACGCCACTTATTTATCGGGTGAGACTGTTTTGGTGGTGTATTAACTTCACGGGAGGTAGACGACCATCCTTCACAGGGACGAAAGAGGGAGTGCTCAAAGATCGGCTCCCACAGCAAGGAGGGGCCCCGTGAATCATCGCCGTGCCCCCTATCAAACGGTTATCTTACCAGTCTGCGTGACACAAAATCATCCAGCACATGTATCCAACAGCAATGTTCGCAGACTCACGAACAGACTAGTCAGCGCTGACTAGTCTAGTGGTGTAACTTTATCGAATAGCGTATGCGGGAGTGAAAATCCGTACGCACACGCGGTATGATACATTTTCGGTATAAAGTTTGAACCGCATCGAACCGAAGGGCAATTTCGAATCCATCCATCCGTGCTCAGGCCCGCCGTCTATAAACGTCGATCTACACATAGCCTCGTAGCTCGTTTCGGTTGGGCGACCTATGTCCCCCCATGCGCTCATGCGCCTTGCATGACCAGCAGTTTGACTTGCTATTTTTCTCGAGCGGCCCGCTCGGTCAGGCCCATGCTTCATGCCGCCATATCTATGTGTGAATTGAGTTTTCGTCCACGTACTCTCGCTGAGTACACGTATCTGTCTCTACCCTACCCCCAGCATGCCATACAACAACCCGCCTATAGCAGTGGTAGTACTGGAAGTACTGTCCTATGTATATGGACAGTGAATGTGCGCGTATCTTTCCTTTTATTTTTTTTTCCCCGCGTTTGTGGTTTACACGAAAGTTTCGGACCAAAGGCAGATGTCCGTCCGCACGCACGGGCGTGGATGCCTAACTTTCTAGATTGGTGCACTCTGCATTGGCCCCCGTCAGAAGGGCAGTGAGCATCAGGATTCGAAACAAACGATTCGAAATCTATTGCGCGACGACCACGACACTGCGTGCGGTTGGCTGGGTAGTACATGGGGTTGCACCTTCGCAACACACACACAGGACACAGCTTGGAACCTTGGCGCTGGTTGCACACACCACATATGTCAACCAGCAACAAGGCAGGGACAGAGACAGTAGTTGTAGGCACCTGGCAGTTTTCTGGATGGCAGGCAACGCATGTGCGTGCATAGACTGCCGTATGTGACCGGCTGGGCGGTGCGGCAGTTATGTACGTGATAACTTCGTGCTGCTGCGGTGAGCGGGATGGCAGCGGCAGACCTCTTTCCGGTTGTGCTGCTGTGCCTACTTGCACAAGGTACATGCATGTAGAAGTAGAAAGAGGTCATCATGGTTCGCCCTTCCCTACAACCTTGCAATGGTTGTGCGTGCTCCTATGCATATTATGGGTTCACTGCTGCTGTACCTCAGCTCAACGGTTGACGCACACCGCGGCGTTTCTCTGCAGCGAGATGTATTGTACGCGCCCGGTGAATCGCACTGCTGTGTGAATACCTATGTATACCTATGCATGACGAGGAAGGCGCTACTGTGAGACGGCAACAAGCAACTGGCTGCGGCCAAATCGGTCTACAGCAGTAGTATCACCAGCCAATACATACGACAGTACAACGCGTATGCGCGAAAATATTTGTGCGGCATGTGTGCCTTCATGCGCCGGTTCCTTGCCGTTCTCCGCTGCTTTTTTTTTTCTCAAACAGGCCACTGACACTACCGGTGCAGTCGAGACCTTTGGCGCGAAGCTCCACCGCCACCTTTCGCCCGCCAACTGGCTCAAGAATTCCGGCCTAACAGGCATCAACGCCGACGGCAACCGTCGTCTGTCCTGGAACTATGGCGGCGGTTCGAGCGACAGCGGCGGTGGTTCGAGGGACAGCAGCGGTGGTGAATCGGGCCCCAGCCACAACTCCGGCGGCGGTAAGTGATGAGGCTGCTCGCAGACCAAGGGCCGCATATCGCGTTGTTGTTGTTGTTACTTTTGTTGCACGATAAAATTACACCATTAGGCTAGTCAGCGCTGACTCTGTAGTCTTAAGTCCAATGGGGTAAGCCTTTCTAACAAAAGATATACATGACGTGCGTGAGTAGGAATGTACTTCCACTTCACTCCGGGATCGATTGTCCTAGTCATCGAGCGTATCAGGGAAGACTGCGTGAAGTGCGCGAGGAGCAATGTGTTGCCACTTCACGCCGGGATTGTCCTTCGTAGTCTACATGGGCTTATGGGAGTGGCAGTATATCGCTACTCACGCACTTCACGGAATCTTCGCCTTACCACGCGGAAGGTCGCGGGTTCGGACCCCGCCCCGAGCACCATGAAGTATTTCTAACAAAGGATACTCGCACGAGTTCAAATACCGGCATGATCATTAATATTTACTAAAAAAGTGCACCTAGAACTATCAGCGTTTGGCGAGGGGTCCGTCCCCGGAGATCCTGCTCTCAATCCCAAGCTATTGATAACCCAAGTGATCCTGCCGGCTGCTAACGAGCAGAGCGTATATCTTTTGTACGATTTATTTAGTAAAAACCATTAGACTCCTCTAAACTCGAGCCAAAACGGCGTTCAAAAGCTCCGTGTTGCGATGAACCTGGTGCACAGCACTCGAATCACTAGAGGACATCCTAAAGTAGCGGGGGGTGCGTGTTGGCGCGCTCAAATCTGCTTCTGTGGTGGTGATATCGAGTGTCGTTGTAGCGGCCTACAATCTCCGCAAATCTATCTCGTCAAATTAATCCGGCACCCAGCGTCTGGTACTGCTTGTGGTCGCCCCCACTGACCGCAATCTCCTGAACTGCGGGTTTACAGCAGTAGCTGGTGCCACTAGCTACTGCTGACAACCCTCCGTTCAGGGGTTACGGCCCGTGGCGATGAGCACGGCTGTGACAAATGTTTGGTGTCGCTTTGTTCCGGCGCAGATTTCGGACTGTTTTCAGGGGCTGCGGCGACCTTCGATTTTTCCGCTCCAGTAGCAAACCTGACTGCCCTAGTAGCCGATTAGAAATCGGCCGTCGCCGATTGAAAATCTGCTACAGGCAATCCTAATTCGGCTGAGCCCTGGCCAAAATCGGCCGCTTTGTTTGGAAAATCGGCCGTTTTTTCTCGGCCATTTTCCGGCCTAAATTTTCAGAAATCGGCTCTTTCGGAAGCGGCCGATGGAGCAAAGGCCTAGAGTTGGAGAGAAAGTGAAGCGGCGCAATTCGCTCTCGTCGGCTGATTTCGCGTGCCACCCTTTTTCAGTGTTCAATTTCCCTGTTGTTCCCGGCCCACGAAGGCCTAAAAAGCACACTTTGATCACTAGCAACTTCGAGACGCGCGAACGCACTAACGTGCCAGCACGCGCGAAACCTCGTGATGGCGTCCTCTACAGGTGTTAGTACTAATTACCAGGTTCCTCAGGTGGGAAGGTCGTTTCTTTCTCAATCCTGGATTAAAGAATGAGAAAAAGAGCCAGCGTCAAGACCCCTATTCTGCCCCCCCCCCTTGACGTTGGGGAGTGAGCCATGTGGGGGATCTACCCTTTCTCGTCGTCTCTGTGCGGTGCAGCAATCTGTTCGCTACACTTCCGTTGTCCGAGGCATGCATAGCTCATCGCTACCACCACCAACCACCACACACATCTCAGCTACATTCTTGAACCGTGCTCAACAGTCATACCTTGTGTTGGCTGGTCGTTAGCGGTGGGTACTGTTGGCATTCTTTTACCTTCTTTACATCCTCCCGTGTGGCCCTGGACGGTTGTAGTTGTACGAAAATATACTCGACATGCACTGGGGAGTGCAGTACCCGTCTCACCACGAAAAATGGCGGGACTGTCAGCATTAAAAGAAAGGATGAAATCAGCAAACACTGTTCGCGAGTTGTTCTTGCAGCCAAATTCCTGCAGAACGATATTTGTGTCAAAGGAAAAGCTCGCCGATCTCCTGAAACTGGCGCCAACCCCTTTTGGAACCATCCTATCGATATTCGCACACCGATGTCTCGTTTCCCCTCTCTGCTTCTTTCATGTCCTTGCATCAACCCTTGCCGAATGTGCTCTCTCTACCCCACTCTGGAGGGAGGCCTTCCGTTTTGCTATACATTCACACACACACCCAAGTATCTTTCCTCTCTGAATAGATCCTGCAGCAATGCATCACACTGGTGCCTTGTGCTACTCCTGCAATTCCAACACAAAATTGCCCTGTCTAGCAAGTTCCCGGTGGAGCAGATACATTTATGTATTTCTCGCGTACATATCCTCTCGTGTGCAAGTTGTGTTTCTGCTGCATTTCAACACATGCCGGACAATCGTACGCTCCTACAAGAACGCTATTTTTCCCGGCCATGCAGATAGATGTACTAACAGCGCTACACATGCATGTAGTTATTCACGCGTAGGAACACGTCTCGCATGACGATATATACTCAGATAAGCGCGACAACTCCTGTATCACACAACAAAATGTCGTGAAAAATACCACACACCACGGGCTCCAGCATGCTTAATCAGCACGAGTGCGCGCGTGCCTGCAGCAGAACAACGTTTTTTTTTGGTTGCAGGACGGCCCCTCAAGGTGCGCATGCCCCCGTCTTCGCCGCGCTTGCATGATTTTCCTTTCCCGTTCAGGAGGGGCCATGTGCAGCAAAGACATCCCCGGCGTCGAATCTTCCGACGGCATGGCTTGCTGCCCCGCCGAGTGCGGGGTGTGCTCTACCAGCTGTGGATCGAAGCGCCGTCTCTCATCTAGAGACAGCGGAGGCCACTCTTCATCCTCCTGTGGGACTCTGAAGCACCGCCGTCGCCTCTCCTACGGGCGCGACAGCTCCAAGCGCTCATCTTCCAAGGACTCGTCTTCCAAGGACTCGTCTTCCAAGGATTCGTCTTCCAAGGACTCCTCCTCCAAGGGCTCGTCTTCCAAGGATTCATCTTCCAAGGATTCCTCTTCCAAGGACTCCTCCTCCAAGGACTCATCTGACGACTCCTACGATACCCCGAAGCACCGCCGCCGCCTCTCCTACGGGCGCGACGGATCCAAGGATTCAACTTCCAAGGACTCCTCTTCCAAGGACTGGCCTTACAAGGACTCCTCTTCCAGGGACTCGTCTTCCAAGGACTCGTCTTCCAAGGACTCCTCTTCCAAGGACTCGTCTTCCAAGGACTCCTCCTCCAAGGACTCATCTGACGACTCCTACGATACCCCGAAGCACCGCCGCGGCCTCTCCTACGGGCGCGACGGATCCAAGGACTCCTCTTCCAAGGACTCCTCTTCCAAGGATTCGTCTTCCAAGGACTCCTCTTCCAGGGACTCCTCTTCCAAGGACTCGTCCGACGACTCCCCCGATGGTTGCGACTGTGGTCCCTCCGGATACAAGCGCCGCGCGCTCCGCTCTGGCAGTAGCTCTTCCTCCGACTCGCGTGACGCGTCGTGCAACTGCGACCATGGTCGTCACCTGTGGGGGGGCAGCGACAGCAACGACAGCGGATCGTCCGACTCCAACGATCACTCATCAAGCGGTGGCCGGGCCGCTGATTCTTCATCCGACTCCAACGATCACTCATCAGGCGGTGGCTGGGGCTCTGATTCGTCTTCCGATGATTCAGGGTCCGGCGATGAAGACAACGGCTACGAGGAATACTGCGATTGCAGTCTCTCTGGTGGGTACACGCCTCGCTATGGTGACTCCTCCGACTCTGGTGACTCCTCTGATTCGTCCGATACTGGTGACGGCCAGGTGAGGCGGTCACTGGTAGCAGCCCAAGGCACTGACAGGAGTAGTCTCGACAGCCTAGAGTAAACTTACAGCAGTACCTTGTTGCGCATTGTGGGATAGGCAAGCGGAACAATACTCCAGTATCTCCAGTGAGAATGATGACGGTTTCTGTATCTATGAGAGAAGGGCAAAGTGGTCAGTAGCCACAAAGAAAGAAAGTCCCATCAACCGAAGAGAAGAAAATGATAGGAGATACGTTGAAAGTGTTGTGCTGTGGTGTCTCGGGAGGGCTAAGAATTGGTTGTCGTCTCGGAAGAATGAGAATTGATTATTATGTTCTCGCCTGCCCCGAAGGTGCGTACGCAGCCAACCTTATTCATCCGTCCCCCTCCATCCCAACGCTTACTTGCAGTGCGAGTGCGAATGCGAGCCCGCGCCCGAGCTCGAATGCTGCGCGGACACCATCGTGGAAGACGGCGAGATGTGCGACATCTTTGGATCGGCACCCTGCGTTCTAGGTGCAGTGCATGAAGCGTCGACAACACGGATGTGGCAGCCTTTTTCCTTGCTTTGCTTTGTACTATTGTGTTGCGCTGCATTGCTTTGAAATGGGTTCAGCACCGGGTGTTTGCCGAATGCGGGAAGGCTTGTTTGGTGTCGACCCGTCTGATTGACTAGCTGTGGTGATGCGTGGTGCACTATTCGAGTTCATCGTCTGTAGAATCAGAGCTCCAGCAAAGATATCTGTAGCTGCTTTTAGTTCCTGCTACATGTGTCTATTTTTTTTTTACTTTGGGAGACACATGTGGCGGTGCCGGGAATTGTCCGTTCTGCGGCACAGGTGCCTGCTTGTCGTCGCCCACCGTTTTCATTTTGCTTTTTGTCTGAGCGCAAGCCGTTTTATGTACCAGCAATTGCTACGGCTAGGTCTCCCGTCCGAGACCTTTCTCGTCGCTTAGCATGGACGAGGCTCCAAACATTGCGTTCCTGCTGTGCAGGCCAACCAGCGTACGATTTATGCCTAACCCCCTCGGGTCATCGTTGCCGCTACTTGTTCGGTTATGCAGGCTCCGCCCCTGCGCCTACGCCGGTCGCCGAGCCCGTTGCGCCTGTGACCGAGCCCACCGGTGAGAAATGAGTCGCGTGCTTTCATGGCGGATGAGTCAATAATCACAACAGCAGACTTCGCCGCCATGGTAGCGCTGACCTAATCAGTTGAGTGTGGTCTTCCTTGTGGCGTCAGCGAGAGTCATCTGTCGACGATGTTGGTTGTGCCATTCCTCCCCGCCCGTGGTAGCTTCGTCAGCGGTGGTAGTCTCGTAAGGTCTTCTCATTGCTGGCGGGAGCTCTGCTCTATCAAACTCGAGGCGTCATGTGTCGTAGACGGTGAGACCCTGATTTATAACGCTAGTGTCCACTTTTGCCCCTCACGACTGCATAGTTGATTTTCATCTTCCTCTTCCTGTGCGTATGTGCCTGCCCTTCGTCGATGGCTGTGTTCAAGACTGTTTTTTTTTGGCGTTGTGTGTCGTCGCATGACCCCTGCATGGTACTCGCTGTGGCTTGATGTACCTTCTGGGACCGCTTTCGACGCTCCCCGTTGATCCGATCTATCTCAAGGTTTCTTGTTGCTGGTGGTAGTTGTGCAGCAGGCGCTGTTTCGGACAGTCGATACTCAGCTCGGCAGCGCACGGCTTCTTTAACCACAAGCTGATGCAGGCCGTTGCCGGCGCAGAGTGCCCTGCATCTCAGCTCTTGCGCGCCTCAACAACCCTACGCGATGCATCGTCTCACATCACACCCTCTCTCTGTTGCTGCTGCCGCATGATGTTGCTGTCTGTTCTGAGCTAGACATGTGCTCCAACGGGTTCTCCGGTATCCAGTCAGGAAACGCGTGCTGTCTCGCGGAGTGCGGTGAATGCGGCGGTCACGGCTGTGGTGAGTTCGGTGGAGGCCTCGGGGCGGACAAGTGCTGCGAGAGCGACATCGAGGAATACGGCGAGCTCTGCTCCATCGCACTCGCGGCGCCGTGCTACATCGACGGTGAGACCAGTGATAGTGTAGTGTAGTGGCTGTGGGTCGGGGTGAGCGAAAACACGTTATTTGTTTTGTTTATATATTCATCGTTACCACCACCTGCCATGAGATTGTGGGGCGCACCGATGCCGTCTTTTGATGCAGGCCTCTCATTTGCTCTTTTTCTTTCTCGACCGTTGCTGCGCGTTCCCGGGTTGAGTTCTCTTGTTTTACGGTGTGCTTCCGAGGGCTAACCGTTTCAACTCTTACGGGAACCCCGAGAAGTATGGGTTGTTGGCACGCGGGTTTTTACTTACGCTGCGGTTGAGCCTGCATGTCATTTCTCGCTTGCCGCGTTAAGATCGGCCGCTGCCACTTCATGCCAACTACCCAGCATCGTTGAGTACTCATTAGTGTTCACGTTCTTGAATTCCACTCCGACCCGACTCCTGACGTACCCTTTACAGATGGCGCGGCTGAGAACAAGCACTAGGAAGCCGTTGCAACGAGATCGGGGGAATGTACCTGAGGTAAGCCTAGGGTACGCTTGTCACTCTCAGATGCTGTCTTGAGTCGTTGGATCAGTCAAGCGGTATTCTCCTTGCAAACACCGCGTGTGCTCGCCTGTAGCCGTTCTGCCGAGACCTACTTGTATGGCTTCCGTTGTAACCAATTCGTTGAGGAATCGTAGCAGAACATGCGCAGGGGACTTGCCCCTGACATGCGTTTCTTTCTTTCCCAATCGTTTGGTTGTCAGATCCAACTGCTGCTATTGCTTGCCGCCTCAGTCTCTTGCCCATCGCATTGTTTTGCCTTCTTGACCGAGGTGGTACGATCTGGTTTCAAGCAAGGTACCTTGTGTTGTGTCCACGTACCATCCTGCATTGTTAGCGAGAAGGACCCAGCAACCCTCGTTGCCTCGTCTACGGTTTTGAGCGTCGAACGATAAATATCCACGAACACACATGATTTTCAAAGGTATCCTTCTGGGACTTGATTGAACCAAGCAGACATCAACGCAGTAGTATTTTAGCAAGCTTACGAACGCGTATAGGATACCATCAGGATTGTCATTGGTAAGTTGAAGAGGAGATACTTTTACGATGTAAATGACAGTAGAAATAAGTCCTACAAATGTTGTTCTACTTCGTATTGGTTTAATATTCATGTAGAGTATGAGACATTAAGTGAAAGTTTTCTGAGGTACATCTGCAATTGTCGNGGGGGGGGGGGGGGGGGAGATCAGCATCTTTTTCTCCTCGGTTCCGACGGCTCTAGCCCGGAAAGCTCATGATAGCTTTCGGACTGGTTGTGGGTGCCTCATATCCAGCACTCGTTCGTGTTCATGCGAGTGCCGTTCTTTGCGGCACGCTTGAAGCTGCTCCTGCTGACCTCTTCTATCGTGAACGTTACCCTGTATGTTTTATCAGGTTCCTGGCGGTATGTGTTCGCCAAAATGCTGTACGCTGTTATTTCGAGGCGATGTTTCGATCTGGATTGCACATAACAGATGGGCACAGCACTTGGAGCCAAGAGGCATGAGCAGCTCTTCCGGCAGGGGGCCGACATGGCACTCCACTCCAGCACGTGCCAATGCTGCACGACACGGACGGACACATGAGCCGTTGAGAAATTGGAGTTTGTAGGCTGTACTTGCTCTTTGATGGTGTTTATTTGTTCTGTATCATGCTTTCTACATGTATGCATAGGAGAAGCGATGCTGCCTTTTCATGAGACTAAAGCTGTCCGCTAGAAGTTGGGTTCGCAGTGAAGGCGGAGGATTCTCATTTTCACCATGTCCCCGGGCGTTCAATTACCACCAGCCTGTTATTTTCCGTTGAGCGTGTGGGATAGTACAGTAGCGCTCGTCCGACCCAAAAAACAGGGGCTCCTCTCTCGAGTCTCTCTATATGTTGCAGCATGTAGCAGGTGTAGGTCGATGTGAACTAACTTTGAAGACTAGTCTACACCAAGAGTATTTTTCTCCCTACTCCCAAGTAGCGTGCCGTAGCGCAAATTGTAGTGATCTCTTGCTGACCAGCTGGACGGGGCGCACCGGAGCATTGATCCGTCAATGTTGCGTGGACTGTTCACTATTATTTCAAATAAATGTGAGCGTAGAGTAGACCACAAAACGGCGGAGAGGAGGACGCTTCCCCTTCATTTGAGTTTTTCGATGACTTCCAAGTGGAAAGAAACATTGCTCTGTACGTCGTGACGTGGGGTGTTTTCTGGATGAATGGTTGTCCATTGTAGTATGCACTACCATTGGTAGGCTTGGTACAGCATCAGTCCGAATCTGGTAGTCCAGGGAGTATTTGTGTTCATGAATGGCGACACTTTAGTATCCCGCTGAGGCTGTGCTGCGTGGAACGTGGGGAAGTCTCCCGCATGCTGTCTACTGTAGATCACAATAACATAATTCAATCATTTCAAAGACAATCAAAAGGCAACACATAACAGCGTCGCTTGGCATCTTTCTGATGATGCGGCACGTTATTTACGAAGAGCGCAACGGAACGAGCGCGGTGCAACGTCTGGTCAATAAATTGGGGTGCTGTTGTTGCTACCACTCTGGTCCATGCGGTAGAATGAGAGGTTGTATCAGAGCTGTGTGCACCAGAAAGATGCTGCATGCGTGTGCATGTGTACATGACTGCTGCTGTATATTCGACGGAGACTATGGAACATGGCGCTCTTTCAGCTCTCCAGCACACGCGAGACGCGGTGTTGCAGAAAACAGCGCGGCATCTATCAAGATATGCGTTGCATCGAGAGGCGCCGCGGGTCGTGCGGTTTATTGCAAAGAAGGTAAAAAAAATCTTAAAAAAGTAAAAAGCATTCGCGTCATTTTTCTCTTTTTAATAGTTTTATTTTTGTAAAAAGTGTGGCCCGTTAGGCTGTTTCTTATAGAGCCGGATTCTTGACCTGAAAAACCTCAAAATCCCGATATGGCCAAAATCGGGATTCTTA